ATATATATATATATATATATATATATATATATATATATATATATATATATATATATATATATATATATATATATATATATATATATATATATATATATATATATATATATATATATGCATATGCATATATATCAATGTCGACTATATTATACTGTAATAATTTTTACTATATTTTTAAAAAATGCCTTCTTAAACTGTTATCAGTTCTAAACATGAATTTCTGAGTTAGTTAGATTAGAAATATGCTACACTTTGCTATATAAATTTAGTTAGAATAACAGACAATAAACAGTACATGTTACGTATTGTACAGTTAATGTTTCAATTTTACAATAAAAAAAAGATACAGTTAACTTTAACTTTGATACAAAAAAGCAATCCCTTAGATAATAAAACTCTTATAACACAGTGGTCTCTTGTTGCTTGGGCGGCATATTGCCATTTTCGTTGTCATACATTTCTGGTAGAGGCTTGTTTTTAGTTTCTGGTAACAACAGTGAGAGCAAACCGGCTATTAAGGATGAAGAACCAAACACCACGTATGGAAAGGCAGTCGGTGTGCCATCCTAGAAAAGAATTAAACAATAACATAAGATGATAAAGTTTTGATTTCACCTATATAGTCATTCTCTTTTTAGTTGTGTATTGGGTGTTAAATTTCTAGTGAGTACAAAATTTGTTTAAAATTGAATCGTACCACAATGAATGGAGCACAAATTCCACCAATTCTTGAACATAGTGATGCAAAGCCCATACCATTGTTTCTAAAACATTTAAACAATGAAATAGTGAGATTTTATTAAATTATAATATTATATTGGAACCATTATTTTACATTCAATATTATTTACTGTACCATCGGGGAAGTTTAATAAATATACTTTGTAGGATAAAACATAGTCCGAATATATAGTAACGTATTGTAAACTTTATATATATGAATATCTTGAAATTAAAATAAGACACAAAACGTAAGTATGTTTTCTATATATTAAGTAGTAAGTAGGTTGAAAAGGTCTACATTGTCCCATATACTATAGCCGTACATCGAGGGAGTCTATCCCCTTCTATCCCCTTTTCACTAGATAAACGCGTTTCGTAGAATTTTGAACAATTCCAAACTTGTGTTTTTCCGCACAGATTGAGGAAATTAACAAAAAACTGCAGACTGATCAATTTTTGGCAGACACGCGATTTGATTGTTTGCACTATTATTCAATTATTGTATTCCACTATACAGTAAATACGTCAAAGGTATTTATAGGGGTGTCTGAAATTCAGACTCCCCTATATATATCTTGTTTCCAAATATAAGGGCGTCTGAATTTATTCATTTGGATGCAAGAGTTGCTGGCAATAGAATAAAGATAATTAGTTCAAAACGTAGGGATGTCTGACATCCAGGTTATACATTATAATACAAAAGTGATGTAGGGAGATGTTTTGCCTAAGGCGGAATACTTTTTATTATCCTGTGTTTAATACACTCTACTTATGTATATTTGGACAAACAAATGTTTCTTGAAGATGAATTACTGCTAGATTACCTGATAACTGTGGGATAAAGTTCAGCAGTATGAATGTACACTTGATAAAAACATGCAGAAATGGTGAATTTTCCAACCAAGGACAACGTCATCACCAAACCTTTTAATTCTTTGTCCTTTCCTACATGTATAATATACAAAATATTTGTGCTATATCAGTTCTAAAAGGCCTGCCGATCATTAACACTGTCCCCATCAATTTCAATATATTGTTTGATAAAACCAACTTCACGATATACTACTTATTGTAACATGACATGACATGACGTAACATACAGTACCTGTCAGCACTATCGGGAGTGTAGATAGTAAGGCCACGCCTCCAATTGTGAAATATAGCACAAGTGGGATACGTCTACCTATTCTGCAATCACGATTAGAAACATATTTAGAGACAATAACTTAAAGGTATGATATAACTTTGAATCACTTCCTTGCTCAAAGCGTTTGATCAAACTATACTTTCAAACTATACTTTAAACACCGCGCAAAATGTGCAAAATGTAGTTACTTGTTAACAAGGATAGTTGCAAGTAGGTAAGCAGGAATTTCAACAAGACCAGATAAGGCGAAATTCAGATAGATATTGCCAGCTAAATCATCCACATTGAAACTCAGACCATAGTACACCAGACTTGTCACCAACCTAAGTGAAATAAATGTATAATACTATTGTTTGTGGATACACCACGTAAATTTATTATCGCCATGCAAACCTACAAAGAACTTATGAAATGAATTTATTATAAAAGTTAATATTCATATTAGAAATCAATATATAGTTGTTATAAAATTGTTACAAAAAGTTTGAGTAACTTTCTTTAACATTTGTGTAGACATTTGATTGTACAGGTCGGGGAAAATTAGTTGCTTGTATCTAATTGTGTTGATTTATTGTCAATATGTGAGAATTATTTCTAGAAAAAATAAAATAGTTCTCTAAATTATTCATTTATGTCAACGCTATATCCAACCTACCAGCAGAATCCTTCAATGCAAGTTATCTTTGCCAAACGTTTTGTTTTGAACAAGTGGCCAAGATGATAGGTCTTTTGGGAAACGTTCCCTTCACTTAAAATAACCTTCGTGCTCATTTCTTTTGGAAATGTTGTTTTATTCTGTTTTGCAATTTTCTCCAAAATTTTATCAGCTTCGTCAGTCCTTCCCCGAGCGGCCAGCCATCGTGGAGATTCAGGCATCCACCTAAATAGGGAAGAAATCTAATCAGTTGTAACATGTTTCCCAGAAATACATTCATATGAGCAGAGGGCACTTGGATACTTACTTTATGCATGCAGTTCTATTGTGGAAGTGAAACACAAATAATCTGATCATAAAATGTACTTAAACACGAGCTTTGGACTGCCTGTCTATATAAAACTATTCTACAGATAGAGCTACTAGGACAGTGGTTTACAATTACAATTACATGCAATAACAATAAGTAGTTCCGCCTACGTAAACTCTTTTTTAAAAAATCTACATTGTTCTGGTAAATGTTGCGCATGGTTGTCAGAATTTGACGTGGTTCCTGTATGCCAGGACTCCAGTGCTGTTCTGTGTCGATAGGTTGCCTTGTCTAGGATTTTGCATTCATCAAAGTTGATTTTGTGGTCCTGAGTCCAAGCATGTTTTGCTATGTTAGAAAATTTTACGATCAGAGAACGTTTCAGAAACTTTATTATGAATCCTGGTCGCGCATCTAGCATTCCTTATTTCGGCAGCAAAAAATGTAATATGTAGTTCTAATAGCAATAGTCATCATTTTCCTAACGCAGTACATTTGGTGGTTTTTGTCAAGACCAATACTGTCTAACATGTCTAAAAATGTATAACATTCTTCTGCAAAAATACCTAAAGAGCTGATGGAGAGATTTATAAATTTAAGTTGGTTAAAATGTTTACCCAACTGTCTCAATAATTCTCTATATTTATCCTTCTTCCGTTTTACGTTGTTTTTGAGGTTTGTCTCATAACGGCATAACCAGTGGTGAGTTCGACCAATAATAATAATAATTTATAGTAGTAATAATAATAATAGTAATAATAATAGTTTATTTGCAGTAATAAATTTACGTGGTGTTTCCACAAACAAACCTATTATATGTTTTATCGCCATGCAAACATACAAAGAACTTATATTTAATAATGCTTTCAGTCTCAGCTACATGTTATGATCCAACTGCAATCTTTATCGACGCACAACACGTCATTTGGATGCGCAGTCGAGACTCTGAATTGATGATTGCAGCTATAGATTTAATTTTGATCTAGGCAGGAAAAACAAAATCCATCACCACAGCTAGAAAGAGCATGTTAAAATTAGTAAAATTGCAAAGTTTGGTTGCGAAATGTTGTAAAATGTGGAAAATATAGCCCTGCGAAATTTGCAAATTTTGTATTAATTTGTATTACGCGCGGGAAAATGCACCACATTTGGACCGAAAGTGGTGCATTTTCCCGTGCGTAATACAAAATAATACAAAATTTCGCAGGGGTATGTCTTCCTCATTTTACAACATTTCGCAACCAAACTTTGCAATTTTACTAATTTTAACATGCTCATTTTTACTAATTTTACTAATTTTAACATTTTTCTTACCTAGATCAAAATTAAGTCCATAGCTGGAACAGTGAGCTCTATATATATATATATCTGGAGTAGGAACTTCTGATGTTTTGGCAATAGGACAAGTGAAGCCAAAAAAATCCAAGATGGCGGCCATTGACGTCCAATAGCTCTGAAGGTCGTAAACAGTTTTTATACCATTTTCCCCAGCTAATTCCAGTTTTTTCTGATGGACCATATCACTAATCAAGTTTTCAGTTCATAAAATCACAATATTATTCTTTAAATCGAAGTCAAAATACGAAATTTCAACACACTCCTTGCCAAGATGGCGGAAATTGAAGGAGCTGTTGGACGTCAGTTCCAGTCCCTTTCTATTGTTTTTGTATGCACGGTTAACACGAAACTGGCTTCACTTTGAGCAACCTACTCCAGATATATATGGAGCTCACTGAGCTGGAATCACCCATTGGCTTACTACCTTTTTAATCGCTTCTTTAGTTTATATACAGTGAAGGCCTGTTTACATAAAACGATTAGTCGTACGCGATTGTCATCCTGGCGTATGAAAATTACTACTAACGCCACAATTCTTCAGCAAGTTCATTCAATTGCATTCAATTACATACGCCAGAATAAGAAACCTATTACTTACCACCAATAAAAAATAAAGAAAAGATTTGGAAGCGTAATCAGTAGATTAAAATATCTCCATTCACGAACAAGATACCCAAGTACAGCTTGCGATGCAATACCAAGTCCATACCCACTTTGCATCACACCGTTTGCCCAATTCCGTTTCGATATACCGACCATTTCTGTTACCAGTAAAAATGCTACCATAAAGTTCCCTAAGGAAGATTATAGCATAAGGTGTGGTTAGCTGTATGATCATCTAGAGGTTATGTGTGGTTATGATGGTTATCAATAGTGGCTTGTGGTGTTGATCATAGTAGTGGTGATGATGATAGTGATGATAACGACGATATTGGTGATGGTGACAAGACAAGACTTTATGACAAGACAAGACTTTATTGTAGCCTTTTTTTTACAATTCAGAATATTAATTAATTAAGGCAAACAGATCAAAATTTGTAGAGTAGTGGCTTCTTGAAATAACTTAAGAGCTAAAAATGCCAAGAAGCCAATATGATAATTGTACTAATGACATTGGTGATGATAATGGTTATGATGGTGATGTTAGTGATTATAATGCTGGTGATGATGATGATGATGGTGGTGGTGAAAGTTATGATGCTGATGATTATGATGGTGACGATGAAGATGATAGTGATGGAGATGATAATACTGGTGATGAAGATCCATCCGGTGTAGATGGTTATGATGGTGATGTTAGTGATTATAATGATGATGATGATGATGATGATGATGGTGGTGGTGGTGGTGGTGGTGGTGGTGGTGGTGGTGAAAGTTATGGTGGTGACGATGAAGATGATAGTGATTGAGATGATAATACTGGTGATGAAGATCCATCCGGTGTAGATGGTTATGATGGTGCGAAATGTTTTTAGTAGTTGCGATGGTAATAATTAAAATAATCTTACCTCCACTGCAAATACCAATAGGCAGCCTCAAGATCATATACATGTAGTAATCCGGTGAAAACGTCGTTGCTAACGAGCTGACGAATTGTGCGAACGCCGTGACGAAGAACACAACTCGCCTTCCATAACGGTCGGACATCCACCCAAACATGTACGCACCAAAAAACTTACCCACATAAAATATACTCTTGGTCAATGGTATTTTGTATTTGTCCACTCCGCAAACATAATCCCACTATATGTTAACAATACAGAATAAGCATATGGGCAAGCTAACTATCGTTAGTACGAAAGAATCAAAATATCGTATAAGCGCCGTCTACACGAGCAAGTTTGTATGATATTTTTCTACTGAGACAAATACATTTTCTCGTGTGGATGATGCATAAGAATGATGCAACAAATAATTTTCGGTTGTTACGCTAAAAGTTGCTTTGAACAGCGAGTTTGAAAGGCGAGAGTGCTTGAGCTACGTTTACACCACAGAATAGATACAGGACCAGAAGTGTCACTCAGACGATATTTTGTCCGAAATTTTACGAGTGCTGACGTGAAAATACGCCATCATACGACGCCATCCTGGAGTGCACACGGAAGTTTTTCATAGGAAAACATAGGTACAAAGTGCCGGGTGCACTCCAGGATGGCGTCATAGCACGCAAAAAAATTTCGGACGTTTTCCTTCAGCCAAAACAAATAGGAGTGACACTTCTGGTCCGGTATCTATTCTGTGTTTACACGCTACGATTAATCGTGTACGATTCGTATTCTGGCGTATTAAAATGAGTGCTGGCGCCATAATTCATTGCCGTTTCGTTAAAAGAGATTTCAAATGTAGCCAGCTTACGCGTGTTTACTCAATGACATACGCCAGAAAACGAATCGTACACGATTAATCGGGCCTAATCGCAGCGTGTAAACGTAGCTTTATATGCCACAGTACACAAATAAAAATTGTCAGTACTATTCAACTACAGGGTGCTTATATGCCACAGTACACAAATAAAAATTGTCTGTACTATTCAACTACAGGGTTGGGGGTAATCAGCGCACGTTTAACACGATACGTGGCAGCGGTGACACGACACGTGATTTAGCGGACTAAAGAAGAACAATAGCTAATATTTTTTACAAACCTTTGTGGGTTAGATAGGATAAAAATAGTCGTATGAACACAGAAAATTTATCCGACTCAGGCAATTGCCCACCCAGTTATATAGTTAAAAAAGGCACTTGAAACAGACTGCCCACAGCCTGAAATTTTTAGGCGAAAATCAGGCTGCGAGCAGGCCACCGCGTGTTAATACTTTGACAACATAGTGTCACTCAAACTATATAATGAAATATTCAAGAAGCGTGTGAGCGAAGACGATATCGCTCACGCTAGGGACAGTAGACACATTAAAATTATTTCTAAAAAGAAGAAATACGAGCAGAAGTTTTTGAATGCTTGGCTAGCTGATCCTCGGTTAATCAAGGAAATTTTAAGGCAAAATCAAAGAAATTTGAATGGTGCCATGCGCCCATGCAGATACGTTGTACGGGAAACAGAGGAAGTGCTATACGTCTAAAACTCCCGCGGGATTTTGAGTGCTCATTTCGTTCTCACGATATTATGAATTTCATTGTATTAATAGCCTTCCTCGTTTTACTTTCGCCCTGCTTGCTTGAGGTAATACCATTCGCGGCAATTCTTTATTATTAAAAGCGTGTAACCTGATATTTGTGTGGCAACGGACATAAACAGTGTCAAACATGCACTACCATAGTCAGAAGAGTTAGTATAAACTCCTACTTGTCTAATAGCAACGAGTTTCCTCCCCTAGGCTACGGATTTCCATCTACGACGCAGTATAAATATATAAAATATAAATGTAAATAGCATGACTGCACAAATTATTTATTTACACAACGTAAGTCCAAGCATTTTATAGCGTGGATTAAATGAAAACATAGGCATAGCCATAGGCTTCGTTGGCCTTCGTTGGGAAACTATACTAACGTCCTGACGAGGGGCCTTCGCTCCAAATGTCTAAAGCTCTGTTTGTATTTTTTCGGTAGTTGTATTTCCTACCTTTTGCTGTCCTAAGTCAAAAACTGCTATATTGATTTCATAAATCAAGGGTGAGATATTATGACTGCCAATTTGCGGCAACGTCGTGGATTGTCGTTGATTTTTATAGGAATTAATATATATATAGCTTACCTCTGTAACAATGGACGTATAATCAACATCGTACTTCACACTGCTGCAGTTTGCATTACAACCTGTTATATTTAAATTGGACGTACACAAAACGTCTGCATCTTTGACTTTAGCAGCTGTGAAGAACGGTAGATACGAGTACCACGCTTGTGTGATTGAACTTAAAAACAACAAGAACCATTGCATGTACTGAAAACGCGAGAAATCTCCAACACGAGTCAAAATATCATCGAACAGCAACGCCATTACAGTGGGTATCCCGAATTTAGGTTACTTTGCCCTTAAATTGGGATAAACGATTGTTCTGATAAGTGTTAGAATTTGATCTCATTCAGATGTCTAATATCACGTACTTGACCGTTTGTACAATGCATATATTAACTATGTACAATGGCACCACGCCATGCCAGTGATGATTGACACTACCGTAATTCTATAATCCATGTCTAACCGATAATGTCGAAAAAAAACACACAAAATAAAACAATTGCCTATATAATGAACATAGATACTCAGTTGGTCTGAAGAAGAACAGTAATAGTATTATAGTCAGTATTTTATGTAAATAATTATTTCCTTCTTATTTGAGGACCCTTATGAAAACCATCTTTGATGATAAGGCTTCCTCACAAAAGATTGTTTAAAAAAAAAAGGAACATAGATACTCAGTTCGTTTGAAATATGACAAATATAAAGTCGAAATATGATTTTGATCTTGATTTTGATCCAAATCGTGGATTTTTAAAAGTGCGTTTTTCTTCTGTATCGCGTGCAGATTCGCTGTTGAAGCGTCGATTTTTACATGGATAATTTTAATAAAAAAGACGTGACCTGTTTGAAATTCTTGATGTCACGAATACAACAATACAACAACTTTCATATTCCTATATAGGGCCTATATATTCTTCGCATTCAAATAGCTATATAGACTTGGATCAAGTCCGTCTCTCTCACTCTAGAGAGACTTCATGGTTTTAGACCTGACTGTGCCACGGCCAAATATTCGTGGTAAATGGTGGCCGTCTTTGTTTAAGGCTTTCGTAATTTTCAAAAAGGTTGAGACGCCATAAGCACGCCGAAAACATCATGTGTGATCATGAATTTCCTACCCAGTGTTTTCCTTATCCAATCAATGCTCTCCCCCCTGAATTCTTATAAAGCGACTGGCGACGAGACAGGTAATAGAACATCTTAGCAAGTGTCCGCATTTTTTTTAATTTAATTTAATTTAATAAGATTCGGCTACTATTTAAATACAACATATAGAGCCAGGGAATTCGCCACAGGTTTCCCCAATTACGGCGATCCCATATAAACAAGAATAAAATTACTGTACAAAACAAATTTTCAAGCAACTCAACAAGCTAAAACTAATAAGGCTAATAACGGAAATCCATACTGTCCAAGTTCAATAATATAGATTATAGGACTAACAACAACTTATTACATTGTTAAGCGATCTGGCTCTTTTGCACTTTACACACACTGATTTCCAGGTGCGCGGATCGTCACATTTGAATGTTTTGGATAGTGCATGTTTGTAGTAGAGTTTAAGACCTGATTTAAAAGACAGCAAACCTATATCTCTAGTACGCAAGTTACTATCTAATATGTTCCACGTTTTGCAAGTTCTTATAAAGATGAGGTCTGGAATGTTACGGTTTTCGCATAAGGAATAACAAATCTAATTAGGTTTGCGTTGGATTCACTTCTTGTAATTCCTGATCCAGCCATGATCGGTAGAGCACGTTCGTCAATGTACGTAAGATTGTTGATGATCTTGTAAAGGAACACCAGATCCAAGTATTCGTGCCAATATGAGACAGGTAATATGTCAAGCTGAAGGAGTCTTGTCTTGTAAGAAATGTCTGTGATAAACCCAAGATTCAATATGTATTTAGTTGCTCGTCTCTGCACTTTCTCAACGTCCTCAATAGGTTTCACTGACTGAGGACACCAGGCTTGGGTTGCATAGGAGAAGTTACTTCGCACAAGTTGAAGGTATAGAAGCCTTCTCGCGTTCATATCCGTTATCTCCATGGTGGAACGTCGAATTAACCCGAGCGTTTTGTTGGCTTTTGACCGAACTTTGTTGATCTGAACATTCCATAATAGTTTAGAACTGATCGTAATGCCCAGATCGTATTCTACATCAGAAGACAATAGTTGG